TGCTCAAGCAAAAACACTTGTAATATAACAACGTCTTGATAATCTTATTAATAGCTTAGATTGCCACTTGAAATCTTTTGACTATCACAAATGGATGTGGCATATATAATAAAAGGAGACACTTCTTTTGTAGCATGCATGAAAGTACTTGCGCCTACTAATAAAGACTTGATTGTATTGGATTTATAAGTTTTTACTTACCTAAAAAAAATTTGGATTAATCTATAGAAAAAATCAATCTATTTGCAAGTTATACTTTTTTAACCATAATAATCCTAAAATAATTGAATTTGAAGGAGATCTAAGCATATTAAATATTACTAAGTTATTATAATTTTTAATTATTACATCTAAAGAAATAGTTTTGTGAATAATATCTCTAAAAGACAACAAATGATCATCTATAACTTTTATATATATATATATATATATATATATATATATATAGTTTTCTTAATTAAGGATATTACTTATTTTTTAATAAAGTCTTTATCTATAATACAAATTGAGGCTCTTAAATCTAATAAAACAAAGACTTTGTGACTTTTTGGTCCTAAATAAACTTCTATTGTAAAATAAGGTGATGGATCTAAGGAGAGAATAAGACCTTTATTAGGTGTCATACAAGATTTCAATTGCATGGTCTCTATTATAGCTGAAAAAACTTTTTTTTTTATATATCATTTTCTTTAGCAATCATGCTTTTTATTTTATGATTACATTATTTTTTTGGATAATGTTGAGCAATATCAATAATAAATCTTTGGCATTATCTTCAACTCATGTTAAAATTTATTAATAAGATTTTGGTCATTTCAATCAATGTTGTAAGCAAGGTTTTGAAATTCAATAGCATATACAATAATTGAATGTGATCTTTGTTATAAAAATAGGAGTTTGATCTCTGCTATCTTTTTTTGATTATTTTGTCCAAACGTGGCCATAAATATTTTTAAAAATGAATTCAAATCATAGAAGAATTATAAATCATTTTCCATCAAAGATACAAATCTAGAAAGAACAATCTTAGATAAAAAAGTATTTATGAATCCAACTTAAGTAAATCTATAAAGGTATTAGAAAGAAAGCAACCTTAGATAAAGCTTCACTTGTTGTAGAAATCTTCAAAATTTTGATCTTGTTCTATCAAACTTCTCCAATATACTTATCCTTGCCTCCTTCATACTTATAGTAGCAAGACTTCTAGGATTCAATTTTAAATTTAATCTACTTACTTCTTTCAATTTTACAATTTTTTTAGTGCAAACTTTGAACCTCATTGTTAACTTCTTTCATATTTATATGAGTATTATCTTCAAGATTGACATTAAAAATATGCAAGATTTCTATACTAAGACTATTGATATGCTTGTGAAGATCTTCAATAATTGCAAATCTATTCTCATTCATATCAAAAATAGCATCTATATTTTTTTCTTCTATAGACAACTTAAACAAATTAATAAATCAACATATATGTGTACTACATGGTTATTTTATATTATAAGCTTTTAACAAATTGCTAGCTTGTTGTCTAAATTTTTAATCTACCAATCAATTATAAATACATATAAAGTCATATGTATATCTATGAAGCTTCTAAGAAGCTATGCCATAAGATATTATCAAATCTATGTATATTTATCCTCTGACTAATACTTCTTATTTACATAAATAAATAAATATATATATATATATATATATATATATATATATATATATATATATATATATCTAAAATAGGAGGTGTCTAAAAAATAAAAATTATGTATCTACTTAGCAATTTTTTATAAATATAGATTCAAAAAAATTAATAATAAAATATCTATGATAAATCTATGAATATTATAAAATTTTAAAAATACTTTTTAATTAATTTTAAAAATAATTTTTAATTAATTTTAAAAATAATTTTTAATTAATTTTTAAAATAATTTTTAATTAATTTTTAAAATAATTTTTAATTAATCTTTAAAATAATTTTTAATTAATCTTTAAAATAATTTTTAATTAATTTTTAAAATAATTTTTAATTAATTTTTAAAATAATTTTTAATTAATTTTAAAATTAATTTTTAATTAATTTTAAAATTAATTTTTAATTAATTTTAAAATTAATTTTTAATTAATTTTTAAAAATTAAAAACACATATTGTTGTCTATACCAAATCTAATATTTTTTGTAAGATTTTTTTCCATTAACTTTGATAAGATATTAGAATTTCAAAGCATGTTTCAAAAATGTGAGTTTTCAATTGAATTGAATATATGTCAACTACTAATAACAATTAACAACATCTAGTCTAACAACTTTCTTTAGTGTTGCTCTATTTGTGACACTCACATGTATTGGACCAATACCATGCATATAACTAATTCATTGTATTACACATCTTTCTTCTTTTATTTCTCTTTATTTTCTCTTATAACATTTGTAGCCCACACACTTGATAAAACTAACATTCTATTCTATACTTCATTAATTCTTTGAAAAAATCTTCTTTGCCTTTTTTAATATTATTTTTAAAACAATCAAAGATTAAAAGAAAAAAGAAAAAAAAAAAAAAAAATTGTGTGATAGCAACTTGAGTAATAAGCAAAAGAAGAAATTTTGTAGCAAGTCTTTAGGTACTTTAGATAAAACTTAGAAACAATTTATAGACTTGGCCAAAATTAAATATAGCCTAGTTAATAATCTAATTTAAAGTATTATTTTATAAAATCTTAAAATAAAATATTAAATATTAAATTAAATTTTAAAAGAACTTGAAGACAAAATGATATTTAGTAGTAATTTATCTAGATTTCAACATTGCCTTAACCAATTAGAAACTACAATATGAATATAAAAGAATTTAATAATATTAGGAGCTATGATTCAAAGCAAAGAAAAGAACTTCATTCAATAGTTTAATTTTAGAAGGAATCACATGTTAAACTATTAACTAATTACCTTTAATCCTTTCAAGACCACTAAATTTTTTATTGCAAATAAAGAGTCTATATTAGTAGATATGTCTACAATAACCAAAATGCTATTCAAAATCAAATAAAAAAAATATATATATATATACATGCTATGATATCCATAATATGGATGATATGATATCTTTAACATACTATGATGTATTCAATATTTATTCAATTTCTATAGACAAAATTGTAGCTTCTTAAAAAATTAAAGGTATTAAGAAAAATAATATTTGTATTAAGCTAGTCTTTATATACGATGTCAATAGTGGCCACAAGCTAGATTTCTTCATTGGCTATGGAAAAAAATCAAAGTGTTTAAAAAAAATAGTGTAGCTCAAACCTTGGCTTCTATTACCAAAACAATAAGAAAGCTTGGATAACTAGTCTCTTTTTCAACAAGTAGTTGAAGAATCTTGAGCCAAATACAAAAAATTAAAAAAAATAAATTTTACATATTCTAAAAAAATTTCAATTGAATATCATTAAAATTCTTCAATTTACCAATATTAAGGTTATTTTTCTACCATCAAACATCACATCTAAGATTCAATCAATAGATGTAAGCATCATTTCATGCTTAAAGAGGTTAATTCATTGATAAAAAAATTCAAATAAAATTGTTGTTCATATACCATAACACTATTGACTTGAGACTACAATTGAAACAATATTAAAGAAATAGCTTTAAAATTTGATATAAAAAGCATCTTTAATAAAGCATCTTAGTCTTCTTATTGAAGAAGAGATATTAGAGAAGGATATTAAGCTTCAAGTGACTATTTTTAACGAAAGAATCTTTTATCTACTAAGAACTTGTTGAATCCACAAGGTGAAGAAAAAGCTCACTAAAAATACATAAATAAAGAGTTGACAAAGATTTCTTTACATGTAGACAATAGTTATGAAGAAATTGATATTCAATTAGAATTGATTCTAAAAGTTCAAACTTTAGTATTAAAAGGTACCATTTGAGTTGTGAACAAGGGCTTAGATAACAATAGGCTCATTATTAGAACATTAAAAAGTATTCAAAGCTAAATGTAAGATAAAAAAATAAAAATAAAAAAAATAAAAAAATTGATATAATGTTTTGTAGATTTCTTTCAAGTCAAAGAAGTCAATGAGTTGCAAATTATGAAAAAAATCAAAATAATTGTTAATAGAATTTTCTTTTGTATGTAATTTTTTTGTATTTAATTTAATATTTTGATGTTTTCTTATTGGATACTAAGTATCAAAGACTTTTAATTATCAATAAAAAAAAAAATCTAGTAAATAGACCATATTGGTAATAGCTTTTCTAATATACTAAATTTTACAAAATTTGATTTGACAAGAGATATTATAATAAAACTATTAACTAAAATTATAAAAAATGTGTTCTTGAAAATTTTTAGAATACTTTAAAAAACCAATAAATTCTAAAAGATATGCATTTTAAATAAATATTAATTTTATACAAAATACAAAAATTAAATAATATATAACATTTGGCTTTTGCAAAGAAATTCAATAAATTGTACCAAAACTAAACACTTTAATACTTAAACAATAGTTTGTAAAAAAATAACAAAAATAACAAAAATAAAACAAAATAAATCCACCAGAAATACTTAATTTATTTTTTGTTCTAAAAGATATAGAATCAAACATAGAGATTTAACAAATATGATTTAAATTAAACATGAATTTCTTTTGTTTGATAGAAAACATTTAAATCAAGAATATTCAAATAAAAATGAAAAATAATTAATATGTTAGTAACTAAATTGATACATAGTTGCTTATGACTAAAGTAGAAGATAATTGCATCTAATGAAATTGATTTGATTGGTTGGTGACCCATACAAAGTCATCTAACTTATGAGTTATGTAATGAGTTATTTTTTTTTCTCAAAACAAAGGTGCTTGACCTTGATCCAACACAATAGTTACAAGGAGAAATAAGTAAAAGCCACCATCAGTAGAAGAGTTGGTCCTTAAAATCATGTTCAAGGCAAACATTCATACACGCAAACCCTTGTCACTGAGCATCCAAAACTTAAGTATAAAAAAATATTATTAAGTGCGAACAAGTAAGACATACGACTTGAACAAGCCCACAATTCACCAAAGTTAAATCATATGCTCAGCACACAATTTTACCACTACATGTTAGTAATCAACATGATCGCTTTGAGCGTCAAAACCCAGGGTCTGTGTCTGAACATCTATGATAGCCCCATAACCATACCTGTCTCAAGGTCCATGTCAATCTCAAAGAAGCAAGGTCGGGTCGGGAGCCCGGGCATTGTGCTCATTGTACCGATAATTGGGTAAATAAAGCCTGCTCCCACACTGGCTCTGACATCTCGGATGGGCAGGGTGAATCCCGTCGGTACACCCTTTGCAGCTGCATTGTCTGAAAAGGAGTATTGTGTCTTTGCCATACAGATGGGCAAATCCGTGAATCCTTGTCTTGTGTAAGTTTCGATTTGCTTCTCTGCCTGCCATGTAAAGAATTCATGTGTAGTACTCAGAAAGATATCCACGACACCTATGGTATATAATAGAGCCCATGTCTCAACGCTTCAGGTGTTAAAATGGTACAAACCAAAGAAACAAGAATCAAGGATGTTGTACCCTACCGAATCGAAAGTACGAAAGCAATAGAAACCATTTTAAAGTTCTTAATTTCCTATATTGTTTGTAAGATTCTAGAAAGCAAGTTAAGGCTTCGCGGAAATCTTCAGGCTGTCAGAAGGAAAGACTCACACGCAACTGAGATGAAGTTCGAAGAAACTTACCACAGGAGAATATTCAACTCCAACTGCACCGTAGGATGTTGCAATGGCTTCAATTTTCTCCTTAATGCTGATGTCAAGGGGGTACAGAAACTTGAATTCTCCACTGTGCTGCTCACAAGCCTTCTGGACTGCTTTACCAAGTTCCACCTGAAAACAAGTAGTTCATTTGTTAATTCCATTATAACTTTCGGCATATGGCTTTCTAATCACGAGATGACAGTCAAAATAGTTGTAGATGATAGCCAAAACAGGAGGCTCTAGGCAAAGTATGTACCGCTCCAGCTCCTCCGTGTGCAAAATGTGTGCAGATCACAGCATCAGATGCACCAGCTGCGAGAGCAGCCTGTCTCACTGCCTCAAGCTCAGCCTCTGTATCAGTAGCAAAAGCGTTAACAGCAACTACCACATTCACACCATAAGTCTTGGTGTTTTCAATATGCTTCACCAGATTGGAGCAACCTTTCGTCACCAGCTCAACATTCTCGGTTTTGTATGTATGGTCAAGTGGCTTCCCTGCAACAACCGCAGGACCCCCACCGTGCATTTTCAATGCCCTCACCGTGGCCACGATAACTGCACAATTAGGTGTCAACCCACTGTATCGGCACTTGATGTTCATGAATTTCTCCACCCCTATGTCTGATCCAAAACCAGCCTCTGTGACCACAAAACCCTCAGGCCCAACCAACTTAAGAGCGATTTGATCCGCCACGATCGATGAATTCCCGTGAGCAATATTGGCGAAGGGTCCAGCATGCACTAATACGGGGGTTCCTTCCAGAGTCTGCATCAAAGTGGGATGAATTGCATCCTTCATCAGAACAGTGAGCGCACCCCCAATGCCCAAGTCATCAGCAGTAACGGGATCCCCTCCGCGACTGGTTCCTACCACCATGTTACCCAACCGTTCTCTCATGTCACCCATAGAAGTGGTGAGAGCCAGAACAGCCATGATCTCACTCGCAACAGCAATATCAAAGCCAGTTTCTCTAGTCATTCCCTTCTCGTCTGGACCTTGTCCTACAGTGATTTTCCGAAGAAAGCGGTCATTGACATCGAGGACTCGTTTCCATGTAATGAGCTCTGGGTCAAGATCCAGTCGCACAAACTTCTTCACTTCCTCGGGTGTTAGGTCATCGGGGTTAGTTTTGTCGATCCCTAGCTTCTTCAACCGCTTGAACATGACCTTCGCGAATGAGCGCTTCTTGTCCTTATCGGCGGGACATAATCTGTTCAGAAGAGCTTTATCTGACTGGGTAGCCTCATGAAACATACGAGCATCAATAGCTGCGGCTAACAAGTTGTTGGCAGCCGTGATGGCATGTATATCACCTGTCGCATACAAGTAACTGTTAGTGGAAGTAGGAGCGGCATGTTAGAGCAAGTAGGAGTGGAAAGTAGAGCTGAGAAATTCTTTTGTCAAATTCTGCGAGGAATATCAATCATTCAACGACCACAAAGTCTGTGCACTTCAGTGGACACCCACTCAACTTGTTTGTGTAGCGATATGTCTCACTTATCTGAAAACTGTTTGGTAGTTCCTATTCTCAACAATACTGATCAGTCAGGGACAGAAACGAATCTAAAACAGAATATATGAAATGATTCACGAACTCAAAAAAGGAAAGTAAGGAAAATAAACAGCCCTTTCAATAAATGCTAATAGCCTTGGCTATTCACCTGTCATGTGTAGATTAAACTCGTCCATTGGAATGACCTGGCTGTAGCCTCCGCCTGCTGCACCTCCTTTGATACCGAACGTAGGACCTTGACTTGGCTGCCTTATGCATGTCACAACCTACCAACAACCCGGATCGTTTGACATTGTACTCGTAAATAGGCCCTAGCCTGACCCAATGAATTGTATTGCAGCTTTTAAGAGATAACATCTATGCTAGCACGAGCAACGATGACCAATGCCATCACCGAACCACATTGACATGCAAATCCTAAGTGGCCAGAACAAGAGCTCATTCGCGCATTATTACATTTACAAGCGAAGGAAGCTTATGATCATCTATTCACAAAAATCTGGGTCAAGTTAGGCATCAAGTTATAAAGGAGTTTCCAAAGTAGTACCTTCCTCTCAAGGTAGGCCCCTAGTGCTTGACATAGTCCGACGGTTGTGGTAGACTTTCCTTCTCCCAAAGGTGTAGGTGTAATTCCTCCAACAACTACATAGTAACCATTTGGTGCACTTCCTAGTCTGTCTAGGGTGGAGAGGAGGACCTACATTACCACACAGCACTTTATTGCGTTAAAAAAAGCAGCTCGCATTTTTAGATCCAGAGTTGGTGATTGTCTAGTACCCGCCCCTAAAATTATCTCATTGAAAGTTATTTCACAATCATGAACAGTACACACTTGTCTAGTTCCACTCAAACAGTGTTGAGGAACAAATCAAGACCTACACCAGTCAGTATTGTACATAAAGATCCTTGCTAAAAAAATAGACCAAGAGAGTAGAAATTGCACGGCACAACAGAGGTTTTCATGATAAGTAATTGTGAGGAAACGAACGTGAAATACAGACAAAAACTCAAAGATTCAGGAACTCAAAGAATCTGGCTTCGCAAAACAGTGCAGCTCGACTGAAATTACCTTAGTCTGGAATAGGATTCGTATGTGTTACGCGCTACCGAAACAGGAGAACTACGACACAGCATTATTTATCCAACCCATCTTGTCTAAAATATATCCCAGAAACTATTCAAGTAGAATTTAAAGCATTTCGAAGAAATGAATATAAAAACAGATAAATAAAATTTTAAAACTCTTGCTATTGTCGCTGAAGAGGATTGAATTGTCGAGCTGCAAACAATATGAGTTAGAACCTTGCAGAATTCATAAGCACCTGCATTGCTCCTGCCTAAAACGATCCGCTTCATAGGTCAACCCACCAGACTCATCACCGGTATACACAAGCCCAGCATGGCAGCATCCAAGTAATCAAGCAACACCCTTGAATCCCAACTTTACACACGGCACGAGTAGCTCCACGAAGTCAAAGAACAAACACTGACAGGAAACACAAATTCACCCCCCGAGTCATCGCACACACAGGAAGGGGAAACCGACAGCACCTTCGCTTTGCTCTTGCCATAGCAATCGTATTCCTCCGGCTTGAGGCCAAGCTCCTCGGCAATGGCCGTAATGTGTAGCGGCTTGACCGAATTGGCGACGTCGATGTCAGCCGGGACGGGGCTCACAACCTCCAGCTTCCTGATGTTGCCCATCGCGCTCCTCTCCTCCTCCTCTCCTCCTCCTCTCCTCGGCTCCCGCCTTCCTGCTGTCCCTAGCTCCGCGAAAACACAACCCAGAGAGACACAAAACGCGACCTCTCTTCACCGCAGTCCCGGTCTCAATTGCGTCCCACAATGCGTCCGTGATAAAGATGGGTCCTGAATTTGGGAAGATGCAGTGTGGGTTCACCCTGGAAAGCCGGGCAGCACTGGAACTCGAAGACCCACAACCCTGTAGCTCTGATCCGATCGTCTTTTCATCGCCAATCTCCTCCTCCTGCTCTGTCCCTGTATCTCACACTGTCTCTCTGCCTCTGTCCGACGACGGATCCCCGCCTGTGCCCTCTCCTCTGTCACACTTGTGCCATCCACGGTCTCCGGTCCCCACCTAACCCCCGTGGTCGACATGCTCGTGGGAGCGCGGTAAACTCGTATTTACCACTAGGTTTTCTTACTGTGGTTAATTTTCTGACTGTTCAGGGTCCATTGTACCGTGTGTGAATAATGGGTTTTTTGTCTCGAAGCTTATGCTGCAAATATGGTTCGTATTGTTGGTATTTTCTATGCATGTTTACTTCCAGACCAATGTTTTTCACCCCTCCATTTTTTTTTAATACATAAAAAAAAAAAAAAAAAAAAAAAAAATGATTTGGTTACTTTTTCTTTGTTGAAGATAATACTTTTATAATTTATCTCACGTGTAATTGATCAAATTAATTGTATACAGAGTAATAAAATGATTTTTCCTATTTCTTTCAACTTTTAAATATAAATTTTTGTAGTTCAATATTTTTTATTGATTTATGATTAAATCTTGTAAAGTCATGATAATATGATATTATATTTTAAGAGATTTTACAATATTGAATGCTTGACAAAAGGCTTATATTGGAAGCTGAAATAAGTTTCTCTCAAGCAAAGCACCAAGTTTATTATGAAGGGAATAACTTAAATTAGTTTATAATCAATAAAAATACTAGGTTTAAGGTCAGATATATTCATGCAATAATCCATCTATCTATAGATTTGCATAAACCCTAAATCCTAAAACCTTATACATTTATGGATAGTGTGATTTGTATATTTTATGAGTGAATTTTTTTATTTAAGTCTTTATATATATATATATATATATATATATATATATACCAACTTAAAATGCACAATTCTGTTAAAAGATAAAACTATTCTAAAATATCACACATGTCTACCCTTGGTAATTTAAAATAAATAAATAAATTTAATCATTTAGATGTAAAATATAAACTGTATATTTAATTAAAGTTATAAAATTATATATATATATATATATATATATATATATATATATATATATATATATATATTTTCTTATTTGATAAAAATATATTTTGATTTAATGAAAAACAAAAAATTATCTGAAGATTGGTAGTAAAGATTAATGTTGAATTTATCTTTAAAACTTAAGATAAATATATCAACCAAATATAAATGCATTTTTAAAACGTTCGTACTAATGAATAAAATAACTCTTTAATACTAATGAAAGGAAGATTTATGTGTCCAGAAAAATATTAAAAGAGCTTGGAATTAGGCATGTTTTAAACGAAACATGAAAAGAACCATATACATATATAAGTTGTAACTTTAAGGAATAAATAGTCATAAAATTTTAATTTAAAAATTCACCAACTTATTAAATTTTAATAAAAAAAATATTTTACAAAATTAAATAAAAACTGATTAAATCTTATTTAAATGATATTTTCTAATTTAAAATATTGGTGTGATTTAAGTTTTCAACTAAATATAAATAATGTTTTACTAGTGTGAATAAATCATTTTTATTATTAAGTTTCTAGTATGGTTCTATTTATTTATTTATAATTACTATTACTATTATTATTAGAATATTACTATTTTATATATTTTAATTTGGAAAAAAATTATAAATCCTTATAAAAGATGTATATATATGTTATATTACCATTCAAGTATTTTTTACTCCACACTCTCTTCTTTTGTCATTATGGTAACTTTTAAGATGGTTATTGTAAAGCAAAGAGACTACTTTAATGATATTCATTAATGATGATTTGAACTTCAAAAAGTTTAATGTATGTTTAATTACACCTATCAATATAGATATATAGAAATCAATAACACTTAAGTCTCAATGCTAACTATACTAATTCATAACTTTTCTAACAATCATATTAGTAACTTATAGAGTTAAAATGAAAAGAAAAGAAAACCTATATATATATATATACATATATAAATAAAATAGAATAAAATTAAAATAAATCATTATTTAAACTTAGTTAAGTTATTAATCCATTTTTATTTATTCTATATTTTTATAAATAAAAATTATAGAAAAGATAAAATTAAATATAAAATAAATACTAAAATTTATTATTCATAAATACAAAAAAAATCTAAGTAATTCAATTATAATTTTCTAATTTAAATATTTAAAATATTCACAAGTAAAATTTTAAATAATATGTTAATTTTAAAACTAATATTACATAAATATAATATTATAGTATATTTATCTAAATTTAAATAAATTAAAAGATTTATATATCAAAAAATATTAATAGCTTAATTTGACTAATAAAAAAAAATTCTTTATAATTTTTTTTTAAAAAAAAGATGCATAAGAGTAGATAAAAGAAGATAACATACTTATTTTTTTTATAAGTAAATTTGAAGCTAAAATTTAATTTTATGCAAAAAAAAGTAATTAGAAAAATTTAATGTTTAATTTAATACTATTAATAAGATATCTAATATTATAAATAAAAATAGAAAGTAATAAAAAATTCAATTAAATAAAATGTAATCTAAATAAAATCATTGTTTGTTATAAAAGAAAGGTGGCAATAGAGGTGCATTCATTCTAAAGTGTATAATTTAGTATTTAAATTGAGATAGTTAAGAATATTATGCTATTTGTTGCCATTAAGAATACTTAATTCAATAGCATCCATATTGAACTAAATAATTATTTTTAAGAATATCTTAGCTCAATATACACTTGAGAATCCTAATTCAAGTATATCTTAGCTCAAGATAATATTCAAGATAATATCAAGATATACTTGAGAACATGGATATTATTTAGTTAAGATACACTTTAAATTATGGATACTCTTGAGCCAAGTAGGAAAGATGAATAACTTAAAAGTTCATTGTTTTATACTTTGTTACAATGAAAAATATTCTAAGAAATTTAAAATTATATTTATTGAGAAAATTCTAATTCTAATATTTAAAAACACCAAAAATGACAATTCTACAAATCTAAGAGAAGTGCCACCATTTTTTTGGTGCATAAATATAATAGCATATCTTTAGTAACATTGCACCAAATTAGCATTTTTGTCTATAAGGACAAAAAAATATATTGAACATATTTTCTATTGTCCTTATAGACAAAGTCAAAGTAGAAGTGAATCCTTATGTATTCATATGTGCCAAGAAAGTCCAATCTATTCTCAATTTATTTTAAAACTTTGGAAAATTTTATCACAAAGAAAGAAAAATAATAATAATTAAATATACTTCAAAAGTACAAAAATATATCTTAAAACATGGAACCAATTAAGATTTTATGAAAGCATTTATAATTGCATTAGGTAATAACCATTCTAATATAAGATATACTATTAAAAGATTTAATACTATTATAATAATATTCAAATAAATCAATAGCATTGCATACCAAACTATTGAAATAAAAAACTATTAACATCAAAAACAAATTTCAAAGCATAGCCAATACTAATGATGCTATTAAGAAAAAAAAAACACACACACATACACACACGCACACACACACACACACACACACACACACACACACATAATATGTATAGAAACCTACAAATTCAATCTCTTTAGGAAGCTCCAAATAATTTTTTATATTTATCAATGACCACTCTTACAAAACTTGAATCTACTTCATATGAAGTAAAGATAAAAAAAAATTAAAAAATTTAGAGAATTTAAAGCACAAGTAGGAAAAATAAATAAGCAGCTTAAGAACAAATATAGATAGAGAATATTTTATGCATAAATTTAACAATTTCCTGATTTGTCACAAAATAAGAAGACAACTTACCATGGTTTGTATTTCATAATAGAATGGAATTAGCGAATGCTAAAATAGAGCAATAGTAGAAATAACATGTTTAATGTCAATTATTTACTAATTGCCTAGTTATGTGTGATTTAAGGCTATCCATATAACCAACTATTTAGTCAATTTGAGCCCCATTAGAGATAATCAAAGCATAATCCTAGAATAACTTTATAACAAAGCCAATCCACATGTAGATCACTTGTATGTCTTTGATTTGGTTGCACACCTTGAAAAAAAACTAATGAAAACTTGAGTTAAAAATTATCATGTGAATATCCTTAAAATATGATGTTTAAACAAAAGTTTATAAAAAATTTTATCCTTCATATTATAAAATATATATTAATCATAACATTGTCTTTGATGAAATATTAATTAGATTTGATTATATAAAATGCCACTCAACCTTAAGAGATAAACTCAAACTATTTCCAAAAATTAATACATTATCTAAGAACTTACTTGATTCTATAAATCAATTGATAATTGATTAAGCTTCTACAATCAAATATCCTAAATTCAAAGAAGATAAAAGCATAGATATTTCTTTGTTGGTACTAATAAGTGAATCACCTTCTTTTTTTTTGAAAGATACACTTAGGCACACTTCCTAATCAGTACCTTGAGACCAAGTTGATTATCAAAGGTATCCTATTAAAAAAAAAAATTATATATCAAATACAAGGATAACTATATGCTTGTAGTAGAATCAAGTATTGAACAAAGAAACTATAAAGAGGCAATTCAATATTTTGGATAGCTAGAATTAATTAGATTAGAAATATAATCCATATGAAAAAATAATACATGGATTTTAATAGACTTGTCTAAGTAAAAAGCTCTAATATAAGCAAATTAGATTTTAAAATCAAAACCAAGATCTAATAGAATACTGAAGAATTAAAGGCTAGAATTGTTGCTTTGGAAATATGAACAAAAGAAGGACATTGATTTCTTTAAATCTTTGCACTTGTAGTGAAATGGTCCATAGTTAGAAGTACCATAGCATTAGTAGCTTAAAAAAATAGAAACTATAGTATTTAAACGTAAAAATAATATTTTTGAATAACAAACATAAAGGAGAAATATATATGATATTACTTCAATGAAATAAAAAAAAAAAATGGATAGTCAAATCAATATTTGTAAGCTAAAATAAGCCATATATAA